CGGCCCTCGCGCGCTGAGCTGGAAGAATACACGTCACTACCCGACCCGCCCCCTCCCCGTGAGGGCACAAGGCGCCTGCGCGACGGAACGCTCACCCCTCCCCCCGGTGACCATTGGCTCGCTCCTTTAACCCCCCCCTAGCAACGACCGCGCGGCGCCTGGCACCGCGCCTGTGTTTTCCCCCTCAGTTTATGAGCAAAATCCTGAATCGGAAAATCCCGGCCTTGAGGAAAAGTAACGTAATTAAAACCAAAACCCAGCCATGAGTTCTGCCCGCGCGCACAAGCTGGGCTTCACTTTATTGACGGATTTATAGTCAGGCTTTCTTTCAAGACTGTCCTGAGAAAGCAGAGTGCTGATTGGCGCGAGGCGAGGTCCTCAGAGACCGGCTTGCCTTGGATTGGATAGGAGGCAGGCAAGTTGACCTGCCCACGGAGGGGTCTAGGTGGAGAGGGTCGGAGGAACCGTGCTGCGGCGTTTGTCTAGGCGTCAGGAAATACGATTCCCAACATGCACTGCTGTTGCCGCAAGCCGGGCAGCTCCAGGCCGGGGCTCTGTAGTGCATGCCGGGAGCTGTAGTTTGCCAGGGAGCCAGTGCTGCCGGTGCAGAGGGTAGAGCTTCGCGCATGCGCTGCCGAGGGAGAGCGGCGCGGCGCGGCAGGCGGGCTGCCGGGACTGAGGGCTTTGATCCTGCCAGCGCAGGCCTCCACAGGCAGGAGCCTGGACGCCCTGGAGGGCTCGTAGGCAGCCTCCCCGAGTCCGCTGTTAACCCAGGACAGTTGCGTGTTACCCAGTGGGTCATGCAGGAGCGTTTCCACGTGCTTCTCCCGGAGTGGAGACAGTAGATCCAGGCTTGGAGTCAAGTCTACACTAGGGCTTGGCTCAGCCATGAGCCCAAGGCAGGGGAGATTTACACTGCATAGCCCAGTGGTTCTTTAAATTTTTGTACCATTTGTAAACATGGATGGCCGGTCCAGACCCAGTGCCCCTCAGGCCCCAGCCCACCAGCGTGCGGGGGCTGGGGATGGGTGTGTGGGCCATGGATCTGTGCCAGTCTGCAAGGAAAAAGCCACAGGCCCTCACCTTTTTCTCCTTTCAAGGCAAAACCACTTTTAAAGTTGTGGTGATCCACGTCTGAACAAAGAAATTTTTTTTTTTTTTTTTGCAAATATCTAGCAGGTATAATAAAAGATGCCATGAGTTTTGTTTCCTTTTGCCTCTAGACCAACAGGGCTACAAGCTGGATACTTAATCTGTTTTTAATGTTTATCCGTGACCCTTTCATATGTTCTTGCAACCTACTTTTGGGTGGTGACCCATGGGTTGAGAAATGCTCTAGTAAACTAGCTCCAACAGAGATGGTTCATGCCAGCTGGAGCTCACTTCCGCAGGTGCAGCACGAGTGGGGGTGGATCCAGGGAGGTGCACTGGTGCGCTTTTGCACCCACCCCTCCCCCTTGAGCCCTGTTTCACTAGGGTTGACACCCCTCCTGGATTGGCCAGGAGTCTACCAGAATTGGCATTGAAAGCAATCCAGGAGATGGATATTGTGAACAGTACAATTAATGACATTATGTCATGTTGGAAAAAATTCTCCTGAAATAGATCGAGTCAGAATTGGCACACCTATGTTCCACCCACAGTTTAAGGTCACCTGCCTGGCAGTGGCAGCAGTATTTCTAGTCAGGGCTGAAGGAGTCACTTGACTACCTGGCTCCTATCACCTACCTTCCAGACTCTTCATTCCATATGTGTTAACCACCCCCTTAAATGGTCTTTAACTGTTTCACTACCCAAATTATCTTTTTCTTCTGTGATTCTGCTGCCTAGTAGCTGTTCCTGGTAACATAGCTTCCATTGTACAGCTCAGCTGACTGTTTTTAACTGTAGCTGGAAACATTCACTCTGGTAAATGTTAGCTCAGGTGTGGAGATAACTTTCAATGAAGCACTGTCAAGATGCTCAAGAAAGCAAGATAGTGTTTTCTGAATCTGAGAAACCTAAATTTAACTATAATGACAGGACTAATGAAACAACATCTTTTGATTATTTTTTTCCCTTGTTTGTTGTGTTTTTGTAAATGATATAGCAAGTGAATACACATTCCAATAAAGGGTTTTTTGTTTGGTTGGTTTTGTTTTGTTTCAATCTCAAGTTGAATAGTATAGCTCTAGGCCCATAACTTATTAGTGAAGCTTTCAGTTTCTTTTTCCTGAGAGAAAAATGCATGTTGTGTTATATGTGACGATGCACCACACCATCTGCACCCCGCTTTTTAGAATCCTAGCTCTGTCCATGGGCTCAAGGATATGCACAGAGCAGAGTATCGCTGATGCTGATGCTGCCCCTAACTACGGCTGACAGCTGCCCCCAAGTTAACTAGTGGTTTGTTTATCTTGTTTTAAAACTATTTTAATGTCAAATTTGTTGTATTTAGTAATGAAGCAAGATACTTAATCTCAACCTGTTTTAGCAGAGCTTTAATGATCCTTGGGTGTTACTGTGGAAGATTATTTTTCAAGTTAATGGATTCACTGTGCTGCTCCACCTTAGACAACTCCTCCAATAGGTTTAAAAGTACTCCATGGCCTCATTTGTCAAATGAAGGCTCTTTAATAGGCTATATAGATGTTGTATTTGAAACCTCAGATAAGCACTTAGCCTTGTAAAGAAGGTATTTTATTAGATGGAAGTTCTGATTTGGACATCCTAGTGAGCCCTGTGTCCTTGAAAATTGGAGTCTATGAGATATCTTCAGCATGTATATGATTTGGCAGCTAGCCACCAGTTTATAATAGAGAAATGAGCAAGAACCAAATCTCTGAGTACTGCTGAATGCTGTAGAAATCTAAATGAGGACCAGATTTCACAGGTGCCTGTATATAGTGAGCTGAACCAGAACTCTGGAAACAAGTATCCCACATTTTTCATAGAATATCAGATAAGGTCTGAACATCCTAAGTGATCTCAGGCCAAAATCCCACATACCGATGGACACTTCCAGGTCAAGGCCGCCCTTGCAAGTATTTATTTTTCTTTAAAATGTGCATCCAAACTTGATACAAACAACACTGGGTATAGTTAGAAAAATGGAAGCAAGCTGTGCAAGTCTCGCTGTGCAGCTGCGTTGATCACATCTGAGTTCTCAGTTTCAGGGCTGAAAAGGACAGGGAAAGTAAGGAAAATTCTTCCTGTCAATTTTGCATGGTTTCATTTGTGAGGTAGATGAATATCCCTTAGAAACAAGCCTGTAAGAGCTATTTTGCTGCCAACATTAAAATGTAAGATAATCAAAGGAAATCAATTTACCAAAACATTAACCAGTTAGTAAACCTACTTTTACCTAGGGCTGTTGACATAGCCCTTCTACTGTAAAAAATTCTGAGCATTCAAATTGTATTGCTTAGTGCTAAATTCAACAATTTTGAGTGGAGATAGTCGTGCACACAGCTGTGTGGCTGGAAATGACCATCCTTAATTCCAGGTGTTGATGTTTATTTCCATAAGTTCAGTGCTAGAACGATAGAGAATTCCACATGGCCTCCTATATGCTTTCTTTTTTTATGTTCTACTTCTATATTTTTTTGTGTTACAATAAATTCACCTATAAAAATCACGGTCCACAGAATCTTCAGTCTCAGGCTCTACGATGATATTCTCTCTGCTATGCTGTCCTCTTCTGACTATTCATCTGCTTTGAAGTCCAGAATAAATTGTCCCTTTATACCTCATTAGGATCCTTAAATTCCCATAGTTTCAGAAACTATTTATGGTAGTTTGGTCTATTAAATAACAATACAAAAATGATTAGCATAGGGGAGAAATCTGATGTGCCATTAAGGATCTCATGCAGTTTTGATCCATTAGCAGTGTTATAACTAGGGACCTACCTAACTCACAATGAGAGAGAGCAAATTTTACAGCTTGGTTGCAATCTGAAGAGCCGATTTCACCATCATTTTATGGCATCCCTGCCCCTCAGCACTGATTGGTGAAGAGGCCCTGCCCCTGGGCACTGATTGTTCAGTGTATTCAGTTCCTTGCTGAGATACAGGACCTCCACTTAACCCATGAGGTGCACAGTTGCACCAGGGGAAATGCCCTGCTGGACTTGGTCCTGGCCACAGGTGATGACCTGGTGAGAGGACTCTGGGTTGTTGACCACCTGGGCACAGTGATCATCGCCTGCTGGAATTCACCATCCAGCGCAGGGTGTCAAGGGCCTGCAGCAAGGCAGTAGCCCTTGACTTCAAGAGGGCCAACTTCAATGAATTGATGAGATTGGTAGGGGAGGCACTAGGGTCCTAGAGAATAGGGGAACTAGGTGCCTAAGATGAGTGGTAGTTCCTGAAGGAGACGATACTCAGAGCCCAAGGGGTGACAATCCCAATGAGAATCAAAGGGGGCAAGAGTGCTCAAAAACCCTCCTGGCTCACCAAGAGCATCCGGGAATGCCTGATTGCCAAAAAGGAGGCATACACCCAGTAGAAGGGAGGGGCTATCACCAAAGAGGAGTATACCTCCACCACTTGGGTCTGTAGGGGGGCTGTTAGGAAAGCTAAGGCAGATACGGAACTAGGGCTAGCATCAAGGATCAAGGACAACAAAAAGTCCTTTTTTAAATACATAGGGAGCATGAAGAAGGCACCAGGTAACGTGGGGCCCCTGCAGGATACACTAGGCAATCTGGTGGTTGCACCAGAGGGAAAAGCAGACCTTTTTAACAATTTCTTTGCCTCCATTTTTTTGTGCAGGATTGGGGACAGACTCAGGAGAGACTCCACCAGACCTAGGGTCACGGAGGACTGAGTTAGAGAACTTCTGGAGGGGCTGGATGTGTTCAAATCAGCAGGGCCAGATGCTCTGGGTGCTGCACTTCAGGAGGGATGTAGACAGCATTGAGAGGGTCCAGAGGAGGGCCACTTGCATGATCCGGGGACAGCAGGGCAGACCCTATGAGGAGAGGCTACGGTACCTTAACCTGTTCAGCCTTCACAAGAGAAGGCTGAGAGGGGACCTGGTGGCTGTCTATAAACTTACTGGGGGGACCAGTAGGGAATGGGAGAGACCTTGTTCCCCCGAGCGCCTCCCAGAGTAACAAGGAATAATGGCCATAAGTTGCTAGAGAGTAGGTTTAGACTAGACATCCAAAGGCACTACTTCACAGTCAGGGCAGCTAGGATCTGTAACCAACTTCCAAGGGACGTGGTGCTGGCTTCTATCCTGGGGGTCTGTAAGAGGAGTCTTGACGATAACCTAACTGGTGTCATTTGAGCCCAGTTCTGTCCTGCCCAGGGCAGGGGGTCAGACTAGAATATTTGCAAGGTCACTTCCAATCCTACATCTATGAATTAGTGAAGAGGCCCCAATGGGAGAAGGGACAAGGGGGCAGCTGCCATCTTGACTGCTGCCTGCCCTTTTTGTGGCCCCACCCCTTGGTGCTGATTGGCAGAGAGGCATGAAAGGGAAGATGCCAACTTGGATGCTGCCCTGTGTGCCACCCTGCAAGCTGGCATCTTCCCCTGCAGGGCAGGCTGCAAGGCTGTGTCACGCTGGCAGCAAAAGTTGCTGGCTCCCACTAGGGAGCCAACATTTTATTTTTATTAAGGTTTTTTTTTGCGGGGGGGCGTTATTTTTCTGGGAAATCACAGCAAATACCATTTTTTTGTGGCAATTGCAGAGGTCACCGATTTTTGTGGTTTCCATGAAAATCACAAAACTGCGATTTAAGTAAGTCCGTAGTTATACGTCCATTAACAATAATGATATGGACTAAGTGATTATAGATGTGCCAGTATGTTCAGGATAGACTGAAAGTTACATGCTTAAATTGCTATCAGGTGTTTTGTCATAAGCCTTCCCCTCATCATGTATTATGGCATAACTAATTAAATATGTGCCAAAGGAGGGTTGGTGGTAGTCTGTTTGTTCGTGCAGTAGGGTGAGAGGTTCTCAAGCATTTCTGTAGTAATGGACCATACCCTAAAAAACACCTCTACTCCTGACTACACCTACTTCTGCCACCCATGATAAAACAACATCTTTATGGCAAGGACAGCAAACTTTTACCTGGACAAGTAATATTGGGAAATAATTTGAAGTATTTTAGCTTCTTTAATGCAATTTAGCAAATGACAACAACTTGTAGAGCCAATTGCCTAGTTGCTGCCAAATCTCTGTGGAGTTAAATTCAGGAAGTGCTGAAGGAGGTCACTTGCTGGAAGTTTTCTTCCTTAAGTGCTATGATGTTCTTGTTCTTTTTGGATGCTGGAATCCTTATCTTGTACTGTTTGTTGGTTTTCAATCTCAGTAGCTTGTTGCTCATGTTTGAAAATACCTTCTAAAAGATATCTTCTAAATGTACTCTTAGTTTTTTCTAGTGTGTGTTTGTCCTCCAAACGATGGTGGGTCATGTGGTTCAGCTAGGACTTTCATAAGTATTAGGTGTAGGATGCTGTAGGCTGTCATCTGTAGTTATGATGTTAAGCTGATAATGATACCAGCCATGTCTGGTCACGGTTAGACCAGATCTAGTCACATTCAGCACTGTGAATATAGTCTACTGAGGTGCATCCAACAAGTGGGAATACCTCACCACCTAAACACATCTTGTTTGTTAATACTCCTGTAGAAAAGGCTCAATCTCTATTTTTTGCAAGAGCAACTACTAACTGGACAACACCTATTAATACCCTCTGTGCCATTGTGCCTAGCAACTCCAAAGCACCAGCCTGTTGCTCATGACAGAAAATTCACACGAGCACAGTAACAATCTCATTCTTTTTAGAAGAGTTAAAGAGGAATGAAAATCAACAAACTGAAAACTCAGTGAACAAATTGGAGGAGTCTAAGTTAGCAAGTATAGCTACATATCTATTTTAAACTGGTATTTATTTCTTCATGCAGTTATTTATGGAAACACAATATTGTGATTTTTCTCCCAATACTTCCACCTTGAACGAAATAGAATGCTACAAGACCAGTGGAATATTTAATCCTATGGGTTTCACAAACAGTTCCCTGGGATACGCCAAAAAGCCAATGAAAAATAAACAGGGATCTGAGAAGCCATGAGATTTTTACTACAATAATGGAAATAAGGAGTTGGAAATAACCCAAAACTGGTAGGCATATTTATGTTTAAACATTGTTCTTACTAGCAAAAGTTTAGCAATCTTCCTGATTAATGAGGCTTAACTATGGTATAAAGCCAAATCTACAGCATGATTTTGTAAAATGGTTTATTAACATGATAAGCTCCTACTTACAGTAGCCAGCTATGCTTAAACACAGTCCTTGCTAATCTTGGACATCATCTTCAGAGACGCTAAAGATCTCTCAGGTTCTCACAGTTTGAGCTGCGTAGACACAGTCATAAAAAGAAATAACAAGGCCAACACAAATGGCAAGAAAACATTCTGGTCCTATCTAAAACAGACATCAGTATATTGCAAAAGAATTGAAACATTAACTGGTGAATTAGTCATGACTGATTTGCATTGAAATTTAATTCATCACATCAGAATGCTGCACTGTGAATAATAGCTTTACACAGCAAGTAATAAGAACAAATATGATTCACTGCATTAATTAACAGGCTTTAACTGATCAGAACCCTCAACAGACTTCCCATTTCTTCCAAAAAATTAAAACTCATCTAGCATTTGGGATCCATTAACCTACTACTAAAGGAATGTTGGCAGTCTCCACAGAAGTCATGAATTTAATGTAAAATCATGGTGGATTTGCTGATGAATGTGCTAATTGCTCCCCTGCTAATTGTGGAGTTCATGGAACTACCAGAGCAAAGACCAAGCTATTTTTCCTTAGCTAGCCTCTGGCCACTACTCCTGACCTGGCCCAGGTACTGTTTGTCAACTTGTTTTCTTTCTCTTCCCTGCTTTTCTTCACCTTGTCTTTCCTTCCCCCTGCTCCCTGAAACAGGTTACCTGGAGAAGTTGTGAAATCTTCATCCCTGGGAATTTTCAAGAACAGGTTTCACAGATACTTGGCTGGGATGATTTAGTCAGGGACAATCCTGCTTGAACAGGGAGCTCATGACCTTCCAAACATATTTTCCTGTGATCCTATTTTCTTCATCAATATTCAGAACTTCTGAAAGACCTTCCAGAAATCAGCCTTAAAATAAAATAAAAGGCAGAGCCTTGCAATCAGTGTCCCACAAATTTTTCATGGAGCACACCAAAGAAAATGGGCCACTTACCTCTTGGATCCATTTTGTAGAGGGAAAAGTCACCAAAATAATCTTTACATGCTCTCACTGTCTTTCTCACACAAACACATACACAACTATATCTAAATAATGCTCAGATTCCAAAGTCCAATATTCAAAAGAAAAGAAATTCCAGAATTGAGTTTGTCCACTCTGTCTTAATTTGGGCACATGCGCATGTGCATTATGGTTTAGTCTGTAATTACATGATCCCATACTATTCTTTCTACAGTACCTCTGCTTTGCAACAGCTGTAGGGTATGACAAAGTGACTAGAGGGAGCCTATAACTTGGCAGAGAAAGGAGGACAGACAGCAATGGTGAAAGCTAATAGAAGAGATGATGGATTGTATATGATGCACAATCAGCATTGTATAGCTATACATGCCTGTGTATTCCTCCCTGGCTGCTTGGGGCCTTACTAACAACCAATAAAGATTTTCTGTGTCTATGTCTGTGTGTTGTCCTTCTCTTCTTGCCTGCCATGACTTTGGTTTCTCTTATTATGAGCAGAAGGCTGACCGTGGGTCTAAGATGCTCAGGCGAGACCAGTGGTTGTCTTCTTGGGGCTCCTACCTCCTCTTATACCTCGTCCTTTCACCAACTAGCTGTTTCTGATGCAAACAAGATGAAAGTCTTCAAAAGGAACCAAGAGTCCCTTCCTAGTGATTCAGGGTCAATAATTATAAATGATCAGTCCAGTCCCTAGTAATATAGCAAATTTATAACTGAAATCATAATGTATACAAACTCACAGTTAAACGCTCTCTCATGCAGGACAATTGCTCCATATCCTGGAATCCTTCCCTTGTACTCCTCTGCCTGGGGTCTTGCTCTGGTGCCCCTATTACTGGACACTCCTCCAACTGTCTGGATTTACAACGCTTTTCTTCTGTCCCCTCTCTGGGGCTGGTTTCCCACATCTAGCCAACCTTTTTGTCCAAGCTAGCTATCTTCAATTCATTGGTGCTCAGTCTGCTGCTGGCTCTGCCGGATGTGCAGGCCTTTCCCAGTGTGCCTGCTTCCTTCGGCTTGCCTGCTCAGAATGCTGGTCTTCCCCAGCATGCAGGCTCTTCTCCCTGTGCTGATCTTCCCAGGCATGCAGGCTCTCTTCCTGGTGCTGGTCTTCCATGGCATGCAGGCTCTTCCCAGTGTGCCAGCTCTCCCTGTGTGTACTGGTCTTCTCTGGTATGCTGGCTGTCACCTGGCTGCCGGCTCTCTGCTGGAGCTGGCTTGGTGCTTCTCGATATACCAGAAACAGCTGCATGCCTGCCCACTAAAGCTGTGTGAAATTTTGCCAGGTGTTTCGTTTCGACACTGTTTCAACTCGTTTTGAGCTTGAAACAGCAAAATCAAAATGAAATGAAAGGCTTTGAAACAGCCTCGAAATGAAATGAAGGCAAAATATTTTGAAAGTTTCGAAATGTTTTGAGTTTTGAAACTGGGCTTGCTTGCAGGGAAACAAACTAAGGAGAGGGAGGGAGAAAAGGGGAGAAGGACTGTTCTGATATTGACTGTGTAGCTGGCCAGTGATTGTGATCCTCCCCTGAGGTCCCTTCCAAGCCCATTGCTCTTGGGGGAGGGACAGAAAAACAGCTGTGCCTTAACACACACAGAATCACACGTCACAAGTGTTGCTTGTCAGCAGCTTGAGGTGCAGTTTCCTAGAAACCCCTGCACTTATCTCCTTGAAACTTGGCAGGCTTTGTGGCCTCAGCAGAGGTTACCATCCCTGCAGTTTTCAGCCCACTGTGCCTTAACACACATACGTGACATGAGTTTTGCTTTCAAGACTTTGAGGTGCAGTTTCCCAGAAACCCATGCACCTATCTCCTTGAAACTTGGCAGGCTTCATCCCTACAAGTTTCATCTGAATCAGGCATGAAATGACAAAGTTAAAGGCAGTTTTGTGCTTCCCCATTATAGACTATGGCCAAAACATGGAAACAGCATTGAAATAGTGAAACAAAATGGAACAGTGCTTTTGAAATGAAATGAAACTTGAAATGAAAGACTGTCCCGACAAAACAGCGCTACAGAAGTTGAAACGAAACAGTGCAGTTTCACACAGCCCTACTGCCCACCTGTACCCAACACATGCTCATAAAGCATGTCTGAGGCCACTCAGGATCTGGCTGCCGCTCCCCTGATGGTGCTGGGATTCTTGCCCCAAGATAAGCAGCTCTATCGGCCCTTCCTGGGCCCTCTGCCCTACTCTTGGGGTCCGGTGCTGCTTCCCCCTTTGTTCCCCATCCCGTGTTCTTCAGGACAGTGGAAGGCACGCTCCCACATAGATAGAAGCAGAATTAATTTATGTAGGAAGGGTAAGGAAGAGCTTCAAATTGTTCAGTCCAATTGATTTTTCCTTGGGAGATGAGAAATCGTTTGTCAGAGGAAAGAAAAAAGTTAGAAATTATGCGCTTAGTGTTATATCACTGTAAACCCCAAATCCACCATTTATGGCATATTCCCTTTATGTGCAGCTTAGATATGTGCATAAATTGCTTAATTACATTGCTCCATGCCTTTCTCAATTTGTTGCCTATTGCTTACATTGCGATAAATACCAGTTAACTACATGTTGGATAAGTGCAAAGTCTGTTTAACGGCATGGCATCTTTTAGCCCCACTGTCTAGTATTCTGTAACTTAATTGTACTCCAGCTAACTGAATATTAACTGTAACTTGACAACATTGCAACTAATTACGCTCTGCTTAACTGTGCCAGAACAATATAAGAGAAACAGCTGTCAAAGAGCCTAAGAGCTCTGAAAATGAAGGGAGCTAGTCTGTTTCAAGGATGCTAATCCCACAGAATTGACAGTGTTGTGTATGTAATATGGATCTATTACATTAGGTTTTAGCTAATGCCTTTTCTCAGTCCTGAGGCAATGCAGTTAAAAGGACTTCCCTGTATCTGGGGCACAGCTGCCACTACAGATACTATATCCAGGATGCTATAATTATGAATATTACAATATTAATCCCTTTTTATATTAATCTAATAAATACCAGGCATGTGCATGCAGTTCACACTAGTGCCAAGGTTTTATGCAACAGCTATGTAGGTTCCTCAATGGGGATGTACAGGAAGGGTGTGCTCCTCAGCATATGGCATATAGCTATTGGATAAGGTAGATGACTCAAGAGATCACTGTTGAGCAGGTCCAGGCATGATGTGGGAGTACTGAGGATGCTGTATCAACTCAAAGGTTTCAGCAGGAATTACTGCCAGCTTTGCTGTAGGGCTTGGGATGGATTCTGCTCCCAGTTCCAACACTCGTCACTTGCAGAGATCTCTGAGCTGGCTGCATTTGAGGTGAATGTCACCCACTGGGCACATCTACACATGTTATTAATGTGCGGCAATAAACTTCAGTGTATATCGTGCCAGAGTTTACTGCTCCCAGGCACCATATTTGAACATACACCACAGACTGCAGTGCATTGAGTCGGGTTGGAGCAGCCCCGCCTGGCAAGGGGTCCGGGGCTCAGCTTATGAGCCTGGGGCTGCTCCATCCTAGCTCAACATGCTGCAGAGGGGCTGGGGCATGAGGGTGCTTCAATGCAGGGCTAGCTGGCAGGCAGCCCCCTCAATGAAGCACCCTCATGCCCCAGCCAGCCCCATTAGCATCTGCATGTGTGTTGCTGCGGAGTAAAAAACTCTGCCATAGGATAGTACTTGTATTTAATTAGTTTACTCTGTCCTAATAGCTCTGAGCATGTAGACCAGGAGTGGGCAAAATGGCACATCCAGCTGCCAACTGGACTCCATTTCCCAGCAGCCCCTGGCTGCTTGGCTTGGGCCAGTCTCCATGGAGACCCCAGCTGTTCCTGCACTGCCATAGCACAAGGCTGGGATTGCCATGGAGAATGGCCCCAGCAATACTGGCAGGGCACATGGCAGGGCAAGGTAGGAGACAGCTCCAGAGCCACTGGGATCTTGCAGGAGGGCCAGCTTGGTTCAGGGCCACGGCAGAGCCACGATCTGCAGCCTGCATGCTTTGGGCAGGGGTGCACAGGCAGTGGATTGCGGCTCTGACCCGGATACTTGCAGCAATGACAGCCTGATCCCAAGACGGGGTAGAGCCACGATCCACTACCTGCGCACCCCTGCTCAGAGCATGCAGGCTGCAGGTTGCAGCTCTGCCCTGGCCCCGGACCAAGCTGCCCTTGCTGCAAGGTGTCAGTGGCTCTGGAGCAGCCCCCTGACCTGCCCTGACATGTGACCTGTCAGCACAGCTGGGACTGGTCTCCATGGCAACCCCAGCCTTGCACTATCACAGCACAGGTGCAGTTGGGGTCTCCGTGGAAACCGGCCCCAGCCATGTGGGGAGGGGCTGCTGGGAACTAGATTTCATAGATTTCATAGGCAGTAGGGGCTGGAAGGGACCTTGTGAGATCATCAAGTCCAGCCCTCCTCCCCCCCCCCCCCCCAAGCGG